AGAGATCTTGCTCTGGAACAGCACTAATTAAAAACAAAATGGTCACTGGCCGGCCATTTTGAATACATCTGTATCTATGACATGATGTATAATGAATATATAAAATTTGAACATAATCCCAGCCAAAGCATGTCAAAGATATGGCTCTATAACCGCATTCATTAAAACAAAATGGCCAAAAGACAGCAATTTTGAATCCATCTGAAAAACAAGGGCCAATAATGTCTATCGTATGTACCAAGTTTGAATGAAATGCATCCATAAAAGACCAGGATCAGTTTCCGGTATGCAAGAAATGATTGATTGGACCATATTGAATCGGGTCATCAAACCAATTTAAATTACATGATGTATTATGAATATATAAATTTTTAACATAATCAGTCAAAGCATGTCAGAGATATGGCACTAGAATCACTGAAAACCAGTTCCGGAATGCCAGAAATGCTTGATTTTGATTATTTTACAATACAAAAATGGCCTCCATTCGGCCATCTTGAATCAGATCATGAAACAAATTGATGTGCATATGTATAATATTAAATGTGTGTGTGAAGTTTGAATGTAATCGGTCCAGGATGTCTAAGATAAAGGTCCGGTCGCAAAGACGCACACACAGAGGTCAATCCACAAGTACCTGTTTTTGACTACAGGGACTAAAAACATTGCAGGAGATGCCACCAATATACAATCTCTCTTGATACTTTAAAAAGAGGTTGTTATTGCACAAGTCAACACAGAGGGCAGAATGTACGAGGAAGCTGAAATTCACCCATGATTGTACACATTTTCACTTACCAGTTTTTCAGTCTTATCAATACCAGCCATGAACAACACTTCTGCCACCAGTAGACAAAAACAAAGATTCTTGTGAATAGTGTTTCGATCACACTGCAAATTCCTACAAGCAGGAAAAAAATAGAAATTTCTGATAAACAGGATAGTTATTTATGGATATATTAGGTAGTTAAATATATCGGTAAGTAGACTGAATTGCTTGAACCCACAAGATTTCATTAACATAGTACAAGGCATTATATTGGGTAATTATGAGGTCTAGGTAAAAAATACTACTATGTTGACTGTGACTTACTTGAACCCACAGAACGTCATTAAGCAGAGTATGAGGCATATTATTGATATCATGAATCCAGCGTAGGTAATCACAGATAATGCAAAGTGGTGACTGAAAGGTAACTGCAATAAAAAAAGTATGTTTGATGGATTTATGTGAATGAAAAGAACATAAAATGTAAATGCCAGGTAAACATGTCGGGTGGATATCATGGGGACATCACATAAATGTCAGGTGGACATAATTGTGAATGTCAGGTGGACATAATTGTGAATGTCAGGTGGACACAAGTGTGAATGTCAGGTGGACACAAGTGTGAATGTCAGGTGGACACAAGTGTGAATGTCAGGTGGACACAAGTGTGAATGTCAGGTGGACACAAGTGTGAATGTCAGGTGGACACAAGTGTGAATGTCAGGTGGACACAAGTGTGAATGTCAGGTGGACACAAGTGTGAATGTCAGGTGGACACAAGTGTGAATGTCAGGTGGACACAAGTGTGAATGTCAGGTGGACACAAGTGTGAATGTCAGGTGGACATAAGTGTGAATGTCAGGTGGACATAAGTGTGAATGTCAGGTGGACATCGCATGAATGTCAGGTGGACATCGCATGAATGTCAGGT